CTGCATTAAAACCTCCTGAAGGAAAAAACGACCACTCCTTTTCAGCCTTTTTGTCAAACTCCAAGAAACCTAAGAGAAATCTGCAAAATACTAAACTAGGGTGTGCAGAAGACTATACGGATCTGAACTGATCTAACCTAGCTCTGATACCATGACGGAGTTCAGATCTGTATATCCATTAGTTTCAGAATAAGAGAGAAAGGAAAGATACAAAGAGAGGGAGAGAAGAGAGAGGAAGAGAGGAGAAGAGTGAAGAGAAGGAGAGAAGAAAGAAAGATTGGTTCGAACTAGAGAGATAAATCTACACTCTCTAGACAGCCAGGTTATATATAGTTTTCTATATTAAAACAAATTGACTCTTTTGCCCCTACTTAAGACTAATCTGCCCCTATATAATTGACACTAACAATATTCTTTTTTAAGATGAATATACAAGCTAATTAAAGGGGTGGCAAGATCTGATTTTTTCTTTCTCCCATTCTTTTCTATTTCTCTTCTCTCTTCTCTACAGAATTTTCTTTTCTGTTACTTTTCTTTCATAGGTTATAAATCAGATTGGAGTTTTGTAGTTTCTACTTGGTATAAGAGCATCTTTAGAGACTTTTTGAGCTGTTTCCATCATGCAGGGATAATGAATCAGATTCAATTAGTCATATTATGCTTTGGCATAATTGGTTAGGGCATTTATCTTTTGCTTCTTTGTGTTTTTTGTTTTCAAAGTTGTTTGAGTTTGTTAGGTTGTCCAGTTTAGAGTGTGAAGGTTGTCAGCTTGGAAAACATTGTTGTAGACATTCTTTTAAAGCAAGCAATAAAAGATGTTTTTAGTTTTTGATGTTATTCATACTGATGTGTGGGGACCATACCATATTCCTTTTATGGGTGGCTATCGTTATTTTCTCTTATTTGTGGATGATTATTCTCAGTACTCTTGGATATACTTGATGAGATCCTGTTATGAGGTACCTTCTTTGGTACAACAGTTCCATCAAATGGTGCTAACACAGTTTAGTGTACGAGTGAAGGTGTTTAGATCAGATAATGCCAAGGAATACTTTGAGAAAAACCTGGCATCATACTTATTGGAGCATGGAGTAATCCACCAAAGCAGTTGTACATACATTCCACAACAGAATGGTGTAGCAAAAAGAAAGAACAAACATATTGTGGAAGTAGCAAGAGGTATGATGGTGAGTTCTGCAGTCCCAGTTTGGTTATGGGGTGATGCAGTCCTTACAACAACCTGCTAATTGGGTACCCTCTCGTGTTCTTGGATTCACTACTCCGTTCAACCTCCTTTTTCTAGAGGGGGAGATGTTCCGTGTTCCTTTTAGGGTTTTTTGATGTGTTTTCTTTGTCTATATTCTTGGTCTTCACTACTCCAAGTTGGATCCTAAGGCGAAGAAGTGTGTTTTCCTTGGGTATGCAGGAATTCAAAAGGGTTATTGTTGTTTTGATCCAGTTTTAGGGAGTTGGTATGTCATTATGGATGTCACGTTCTTTGAGTACACATCCTTTTTCTTGGGGAGTTCTTCTCAGGGGAGTGTTTTGGGGAAGGAAGTGAACAATCTACACCACTACCCATTCCAGCACTGTCGTTCACTCCAGTGTCTAACCCACTTGCTCCATCCACTTTGCTAATCCTATTATGTCCTTCCTCTCAGTTTTTTACATGGCATCGCCTACGACAACATAAGGAGGTTGATTCCACAGCAGAGGAACCCACGCCATTCCCTATTAGATCATTAGAGATTGCAAGTTCGATTGACACAGACCCAGGTATGCCTCTTGCTCCCTCTGATGGTTTAGTTCCTATTGATACTATTACCCTTGTTCCTAATGCCTTTGCAGATGACCTAGACCTTCCTATTGCACTCCGAAAGGGGAAGAGAAAGTGTACAACTCATTGGATCTCACATCACCTTTCCTACACTAGGTTATCTCCCTTTTATCGAAAATTCCTTTCTTCCCTTGAATTTGTGTATATACCCAGGAGTATGAGTGAGGCTCTCTCCAGACCTGAGTGAAAGACAATAGTGTAGGAGGAAATGGAAACATTGATTCAAAATTAGACATGGGAGGTGGTGGATTTACCTAATGGCAAGGAGACAATTGGATGTAGATGGGTTTATACAGTGAAGTACAGGGCTGATGGAAGTAAAGAAAGGTACAAGGCGAGGCTAGTCGCAAAAGTGTACACAAACCTATGGGATAGACTACTCGGAGACCTTTGCACCGGTGGACAAGATGAGTTCAGTTTGGATCCTCTTATCCCTGGCAGCTACCTACTCTTGGCCCCTCTTCCAACTTGATGTGAAGAATGCTTTTCTTAATGAAAATTTGCAGGATGATGTGTACATGGACCTTCCAACTAGATTTTATAGTGATGTGGCCAAAGAAAGGTATGTAGGTTAAAGAAGTCTTTGTATGGCTTTAAACAATCACCTAGAGCTTGATTTGACAGGTTTAGGAGTACATTGATTGTATTTGGTTATACTTAAACTCAACCCGATCATACTTTGTTTTACTTTGTTTGTGAAGAGAAGGGGATCACAGGTGTCAGTGTTAGTTTATGTGGATGATATTGTAGTCACAAGAAATGATTCGAGTGAAATTGATGCCATAAAGAGGAACCTACACAAGGAGTTTGAGATTAAGGACCTTGGAAAGCTGAAGTATTTTCTGTACATTGAGGTGGCAAGGTCCAAGCATGGGATCTTCATTTCATAGAGGAAGTATGTTTTGGATCTACTACAGGAGATAGGAAAATTTGAAGCAAAACCAGTTAATAAACTTATTGATTAGAATCACGGGATAAATGCTTTAGATGGTGTGCTAGTGAAGGATGTTAGAAGGAATCAGAGATTGGTGGGCCAGTTGCCATACTTGTGCATGGCACAACCAGATATCTCCTATGCAGTTAATGTGGTAGGTCAGTACATGCATGCCCCATGGGTTTAGCATTGGGAAGCTATTGATAGGTTACTTGCTTATTTGAAAGGACACCCAAGTAGAGGCATATTGTTTGCTGACCATGGAAATTTAAAGTTAGAAGCTTAAACAGATGCTGATTGGGCAAGGTGCCTAGATGACGGGAGATCTACATCTGAAGTTTTCACTCTTGTTGGTGATAATCTAGTTTCATAGAAGAGTAAGAAACAATCAGTTGTAGCAAGGCCAAGTGCAGAAGAGAAATATAGAGCTATGGCACATGGTGTTTTAGAGCTCCTTTGGGTCCGGTCCCTGTTATGAGAGATTGGAATAGAGGCTGAAGACATATGATGTTGTTCTGCAATAATCAAGTAGCAATTAACATTGCCCATAACCCAGTTCAGCATGATAGGACAAAGCATATAGAAGCGGATAGACACTTGATAAGGGAAAGGGTGACATCTAGAGAAGTGTGCCTACCATATGTTGCATCTAACTTACAGCTAACTGATGTTCCCACAAAAGGTGTTGCAAGAAACAAGCTCGAGCATGATCTATGCAAGTTGGGAATGTGTGACATATATTCCCAACTTGAGCATGATCTACGCAAGAGGTAGTGGCATTGTTTCTGCCACTACAACTTCCTTCCCTACTTCCACCATGACCACCTCTAACATCATGACCAACATCTAGATAAGTTTGCCTACCTCATGTTACCTTTGAAATGCAATTGGCTGATATCCTCACCAAGGGTGTAGTCAGATCGAAGCTGGATATAGATTGATGCAAATTGGGAATGATTAACATCTATGCAACTTGGGGGGGGGGGTATTGAGAAGGCTGTTTTGAGATTTATTTTATTTATTTTTGATGACTAACTGTAAACTTTATTTAAAGAAGCTTATAGTACAATCACCCTTTCCTTGGATAGGGTAGCCATTACTGCTTTATATCTCTATGATATTAAACATTTCAAAAGCAAGCCCAATACAAAAGATTTCTAGTGTCCCCTTGATTGGCTGAAGTGTCAGCCCTTCCAATATTAGTTATTTTTCTGTCTTTTATGATGTTGCAGACTTACAGTCCATGTATAGATGCTGCTTCTGTTTCTTTATTCAGTAACAGTGGCAGGAGTAATATGGTCACTGTGTATGTTTTATTCTTTTAATATAAATGCATGAAAAGGGAGTGGCAGTACAACTTTTTGCTTCCCCTACATTCTTTCATCTGTTTTCTTCGCTTCTTCATTCTTCTCCCCTTTCATGTTCTTTCCATTATCTATTCAGAATTATTTTTCTGATTTTTCTACTCGACAAGTTTATCCAATCCTTAAACCCAATTATTAGGGTTTGGCTACATACACAATCTACAATATCACACACCATATAATTACTTGAAGGTTAAAGCTAAATCCTTTATGTGCTTTTGCTTGTACTTCTATCCCTTTAAACTTGCACACAATTACATCAGTTAAACCCATTATGGTGTCAGTCTTTGGCCCAGTGCAGGCAGGCAACATCTTCAGAGACATGTTAAATTCACTTGGGCGGATCTGTCTTGTATTAAAAAATCTTCACAGATTTGTCAAATTCACTTGGTCAGGTGTAGGCAGCCAACATCTGATTTGTGCTTGAAAGACAAGGAAACATCTATGCACAACTTGGAGTCTATAAATCACCGTACTATGCTCTAATGAAAGTGCCAAGGTTCCTACAAAGGAAAGGCAGCCCTATAGGGAGCCTTTTACCATGACCAAAAACATAAATTCATGCATCAGTAGATGAGGCACATCTCTTCAAAATGAAAATGCTACTCTGATAACTTTTCAAATCCATGATGGGAGCATTCAGAATATAGTGTAACATTTATTTATTTTATTTGTTGTGATAGGACATATAACATGAGATATTGCATGCATTTCATGATAACAATAATATTACATAATTAGCAGTTGACGTTAGGGTGCTTGATAGAGTGAAATGGCAAAACTGTATGTGTTCTGTTGACCAATAGTCATAATATCTTGGATTAACATAGTTCCCCTTTCCCATTGAAGTGAAATTTCCCCATACCTGAGTTTCACCACGTGTGAAAAGTGCACTGCCATGTGCCCTTGGAAGCAACCCACACCTTGAGTTGATTGGTCGTATTTCAGATGGGGTTCGTCCATCACTTCTTTTTCCTCTCTGTGCCAGGCAGAAATAGATGTGACAATCAGAAAGGTGGACTGCCATAGGATGTAATACACGAGCATTATACATGGTAGTTTGAAAATTTGATCCACCACAAAAGCATTTAAGACAGGTGGTCTTTGTAAAGAAAGATGATTTTTAATGTTTGTTTATGTTTTTCCCTTGTTACTAAAAAGGGGCATAGTTAATTTTTTTTTTTGTATGAATTAAGTATATAAGAGAGAGTGCAGGCTGACCACATGGCTACCTCTTTAAGTTCTCCTTCATTTGTATTTCTCTACTCTTCTCCTCTCTCATTCCTCTCTCTTCCTCTTCTGTTTTTCTTCATTTATTGGATCTAATAACAAGTGTTTTGACATTCTAAGTTCATATCAGAGCAGGAGATTGTTCGTATGGAGTTTTAAGTAGCAATACAAGGGTGCAGCAGGCCCTTATTTGTCAGAAGGCCATCAAATTCGGAAAAAAACTTTTCTAGGTTTCTGATCATGGAAGAGGGCAGATAGAATTTTTGCTATTGGAATCAATAGGAGCTGGATCACACCTTTTTTTGCTGTTGATAGGAACTGGTTTTGTATTTTTTGGTGGAGAGATGAATTTTTGGGGATTTTTCTTCAAATTCTATTCTGCTGCCAATACCAGAATTGGGTGGTTGTGACCTGTTTTGAGTGTGTTCTCTACTATATTCTATCTAGGGCCTGATTTCCATGATCTAAACAATTGTGTTGATTGGAGATGGCTCAAGAATCCTCTAGCTTTAGGTCAACCACTAGGGGATTAGTTTCTACTCTAAGAGAACAATCTAATCTCCAGATTACTAAAGTTAAGTTCGATGCAAATAATTTCCTTAAATGGTCCCAATCTATAAAAGCTTACATAGGTGGAAGGGAAAAACATGGACACTTAAACAAGAAGGCCAAGAATATAGCTGAAGATGATCTTATATTTGAGGTTCTGGATTAGGAAAATATAATAATCATGTAATGACAGCACAAGTTTGGGAGAGAGTCAACAAAACTGATGGAGGATGATTTGGCCCGACCTATGAAACGATGACACGTGGACCTGATTCAGCATGAGCAACAGCTCAGCATTATAGCCTAGTAATGACTAAGTAACGAGCCTATAAAGCAGCTCGCTATATCATAGCTCACTGAAGGAGGAGCTCGCTACAACGCGAGCTCCGAGTTCCCCGAACTACCCCAAAGGGGATATTCCGAGCCTAACTTGGCTCGCGAGCTAGGGAAACCAGCTCGCTCAAGCTCCTAAGCAGATAAGTCATCCCAGAGACCAATTCTAATAAGGGTAACCCCGAAGTATTCCTAAGCCCGCTACAAAGTAGCTCACAAGTGAGCAGCGCGAACGTTTCTCAGGAAGCTTCTATCTGACATACCGTACCAATCAGACTGCGCCACGTCCCTTGACTGACGGCGCAGTCCCTATCCTTTTGACAGTCTGCACCCACGTCTCTTAGCAGGCAAAGGCGTGCCTGCCCTTTCAAAGACGTGTCACCTATCCGAGCAAGGAGTACGTTGCAACGGCCACCTGCACAGCCATGGCAAGTAACGGCTGTGGCAGGGGCCCAGTGGCGGTTACGCCCGATTTCCCCAACGTTCTGACTTAAGCATCGGAGTATTCCCACCGGGTAAATCCCCGGGAATCCTTCTTTTCCATCTTCTCAGGTGCCGTCCGTTACCA